TTGTATGTGCATGAGTGAGCATGAGGGAGGGAGTGTGTGACTGTGTTTGTGTATGACTGTATATGTCAGGTGGGGCCTTTGACTCCTCCCCTCTCCTGGAACTTCTTTTGATGACATAGATCTTCATCCCCCCTCCCCCTGCCACACCTGGTGTGGTGCCTTGGTCTGCATGAGTGTTCGTGGCTCCCGGGTCAGGGGGTTTAAGATTTTTGGTATCTGCCTGATCAATCCCGGGGGCGGCCTCGTGGGGTCTGGGTCCCTGGGCTCTGCTGGGTCCCCGGCGGGGGTGGTCGCCCCTGGGTCCCGGGTCACTGGGCCCCGGGCTCGGCCGGCTAGGGGGTGGGAGGCTGCGGGCGGGCCTGAGGGCTTGCCGCTGATGCCTCCCGGGACTCTGCCAGTTGCTGGTTGTGGCCCCCCGGGGCGATCCTCTGTGCCTCCCGAGGGGGGCGGGGGCATTTCTGGTTGCGGTCTCCTTTGGGTTCCTGTGTTCTGGGGCAGCGCCTGGATCTCTGGGACTTGGAGCTCCCCCCGTCTCCTATGCATCTTTGGGGGGCAGATCTGTGGTCCCTCACACTCTCTGTTGGACGCTCCTATAGAGAAACCTTACATAAACAAGCGCGTGTACACACACAGGTGCTCACATGGTGCTCTCAAAAGTATGGGCTTGGGCACGTTAAACACAGGTCTTAAGACTATGGTGGGCACTTAATGCACTGTGATTTATTATCGTGATTCTTCAGTTAAGCAATGTTGATTATATATTTCTTCGTCAAGTTGACGCAGTGATAGCTTGATCTTGTTGTATTGTTGTTGTGTCCCTTTTTTTTTGTTCTTTTGCTTTTTTTTGTTTTTTTTCTGCAGGTCTAGAAGCAGACTCTTGTTCATTATTGTTTATTTTTTTGGACCCCCCCCCCCCCCCCTTTCTTTTCCTTTCTCTTTCACCTCTGTCTCCGTGTCTGGTCGGAATTACAAAGCATTCAAAAACAATAACAATACAGTTTTAAGTATCAGGCGTGACATTAAAAGCAGACGCTGTGATGCTCCACCTGAGAGTAAATCTGTAAGGCTTGTTACCAGCATTCAGACATCAACTCTGCTTGCTTCACAGCCAGACAGGACACGGTCAACAAAATAAAAAATAAAATAAAGTGAAACTTATCTCCTCGTTTTACGTTGTGTTTTTAACACCTTAACGTAACTGCTGAAATCAGCCTGCATTACGCCTGGATCACATCAGACGTGGAAGCGCGACGACGCGCAGCAAAGCGCCGTGAAACGAGTGCTTCTAATCGGCGCCCTCATTAACCTAAGGTCTTGTTCACATCAGCTGCAAAGCGCCACGAAGGCTCGCGCCGTGCAGCGATTGTTTAGACGTCCGCTCCAATTTTTTCGTGAGTGAACCGCGTCAATTCTGGCAGGAAGTCAAGCCCAGACAGAAGAGGCAGACCAGTACATTTAAAAAAGTAACATTTTTTTCTAAATAAAACACTGCTATTGATAAATTTGATAATTTTTGTGTATCTAATTAGAGTAGTGATGAAATTGAACAAGGCAACAGAGCTGTTGCCTTGCAGTAAGAAGGTCCTGGGTTCAATTCCCGGCCTGGGATCTTTCTGCGTAGAGTTTGCATGTTCTCCCTGACTGTGTATGCTCTCCTGGTTCTCCGGCATCCTCCCACAGTCCAAAAACATGACTGTTAGGTTGATTGGTCTGTCTAAATTGTCCTTAGCTCTGAGTGTGTGTGATTGTTTGTCCTTTGTGTCTCTGTGTTGCCCTGCGATGGACTGGCTCTCTGTCCAGGGTGTACCCCGCCTGATTGCCCGTTGACCGCTGGAGATAGGCATCAGCTGAGAACTGGACAGGCCGGCCCGGGGCCAAAGCCTTCCGGACAGGCTGGCCCGAGGGGGGAACCTCCTGGACCACTGCTGGACCTGGCGCTGACTGGACTGGCAGCGTGGGACCTGTCGCTGACTGGGCTGGTGGAGCGGTACCTGGTGCTGACTGGACTGGTGGCGCGGGACCTGGCGCTGACTGGACTGGTGGCGCGGGACCTGGCGCTGACTGGGCTGGTGGAGCGGTACCTGTCGCTGACTGGACAGGTGGCGCTGGACCTGGTGGAGCCGGTAACTGGAAAAGCAGGGAGGATAGATTGTCCAGCTGGAACTCCTGGAGACTGAAGATCTGATGGAGTCGGACCAGCTCAGCTCGGAGACCGGCGAGCTCTGTTGGATGGGCTGCGGGCTCAGTCCTTTGGCCTGGAGACGAGGGAGCTGTTGACTGGACCCGAGGTGGGGCCGCTGATCTGACTGGGGGTGGGTGAGCCCGTGGTTCCGTCCTGGGACAGGGGGTGACGGTGGGGCCCGGCATCCTTCCCAATGCCGTGGGCCAACTCCGGGGGAGCACACAGCCAGTCTGGTGCCCACATAGCAGGAGCGGTCTAGCTGCGTCTCCCAGGGGAGAACCTCCCCGCTGGATCCTTTAGGTGGTCGGTTCATTCTGTCTCGGCGTGTGGGCGAGGCGAGCGGAGGCAAGGATCCAAATGCGGGTGAAGAAGGCAGACAGACAGGAACGGTTTAACAAAATTTTAATATAAAACACGCTGGACAAAGGAACAATGAACCGACAAAACACACAGAACTGAGAGGGTTTAAATACATGAGGGCTGGGAGCAGGTGGGAGCAATTAACAGAGACACATGGCTGAACAGAATGGGGAGACAGGACAGGGTGTGACACCGGCATTCAAGCCACAGAAGGCGGTGGGGTCTGAGCGACATTTCATTAACCTTGTAAAGGGTCATTTTAGCACAAACTGGCTGAAGAAAAGGATTAAAAAAAGGAACATTTGCATATTGTCCCTTTAAAATCAGTTCTACCTTAAAACGCTCTTGGCTTATCAGGTCCAATAACAAAGGTTCCTGGTTCCTAAAACATTCACTTAAACATTATTTTACCCTTTTATATTTTGAAAGAGATGAAGTAATCCTTGTTTTAACTCACTTAGGGACATTTTGATTTAAGCAGTAAGCAACGCTGGAACAGAGTTTTACAGATCCGTTAAACCTAACAACTGTGTCCTTTACAACATATTTATAATTTTTTTTATTCCATGGGCCACTGTGATGATTGTCTTTTTTTTCTAAATAGATTTTATGAACAATTTATAGTATATCTTCATCGTTGTTACCATGACAACAGAGCAGTTTGCTTCAGTTATCTCTACCATTGCACTGGATACTTCAGTATTGTTGACAATTTATACAAGGAAGAAGGAAAAACTGCAATTAAATACCAACAACTCTTCAAATGACCAGAGCAATCTCACTGAGAAGCCACCAGGACGATTGAATCCATATTACTGAGGAAAGCCGTGCTTTGAGAACGCCTCTGTAGAACGTTTTAAACAGCATTGGATGGATAAAGAGCTGCTGAGTGCAGAACAAGTAAAACCACCATTTTTATGTCATTGTTTGTCCTGTGTGTCTCTGTGATCTGAAATAAATGGATCTTTGGCACAGAGATGATTATTTGGCATCACAGAGGAAAGAGATGGGAGTAGGACTCCAGTGTTTTCCATTCACCAATCCGGTTTATCACCACTTCCTGCCACATCCTGGCCACAGGTGGTACACCTGGTGTATATTCTGCAATGATTCTAAACAAACAAGAAGTTAACTTCCTCTATGCACCATCTTTGCTAAATGTGGTACTGCACAGTCAGAAAAGGTAGAATGCCTTCTCCAGGTCGGGGATGAGGTCCTGCCTCAAGTGGAGGAGTTAAAGTATCTCGGGATCTTGTTCATGAGTGAGGGGAAATGGAACGCAAGGTCGACAGGTGGAGTGGTGCTGCGTCTGCAGTGATGCGGACGTTGTACCGGTCTGTCGTGGTGAAGAGAGAGCTGAGCTGGAAGGCAAAGTTCTCATTTTACCGGTTGATCTACGTTCCTACCCTCACCTATGGTCACGAGCTTTGGGTAGAGACCGGAAGAACGAGATCACAGACAAAGATGGTGGCTGTGCTCTCCCTTAGACATAGGATGAGAAGCTCGGTCATCCGGGAGGGGCTCGGAGTAGACCTGCTGCTCCTCCACATGGCGAGGAGCCAGTTGAGATGGCTTGGACAAGTAGTTAGGATGCCTCCTGATGTCTCCCTGGTGAGGTTTTCCAGGCATGTCCAACTGGGAGGAGACCCAAGGCTGGCCAGGGAACACCTTGGAGGAGCTGAACCAAGTGGCTGGGGAGAGGGGAGTCTGGGCCTCCCTTTAGGCTGCCGCCCCAGTGAACCAACCCTGGGTAAGCGGATGAGAATTAATGGATGGATGCTGCTTAATTGCTAATTCTCATCAAACCACTTTTCTCCTAAAACAAGGCGTGTGGCCTCTAAATCTAGAGCCTTAGATGCAAACGCAAAAATGATTTATAGGACTGGGCTTTCCAAGTAGAGCATCAGGATTAGTACCGGCGTCAACTACCTGCCAGTCTACTGCCCCCTGGTGGATGATTTACAAGTGGAAACCGATGGTGGAAACAGCCATTTGTACTTATTACTGTTTTATTCTTATACAATGACGCTAAATAAAAAATAGTTAAAACTTTATATTATAAGAAAAAAATCATAATTTCATCTTTCAAACTTCAAAAGTGTAACATCCATCGTGATGGTGCTTCTCAGAGAGTGTTCTGTGGTTGTTTTAAAAGTTTCAGCTCGTTTCTGGTCAGAAGCAAATGTGTAGAAAAGTTGCGTTTTCACGGCAGAAAGTGAAATTTCCCTGATTTATCCAAGAAGCCACTTTAAATGAATTAACTTTAAGCTGCTTTAGGTGGCGAGAACATGAACTTTGAAATCATTTGTAACAGAGATCCTCCTCACTTTAATTCCAAAACGAGGAAAACATTTTAAACTTATCACACAACAGCGCAGACGCGACGCGGTGACGCGCGGCGCGGAACGCGCAGCTCCAGGACACACCTGAGCGGTCCGGACTGATCCTCCCACCTGCTCACACACACACACACACACACACACACACACACACACACACACACACACACACACACACACACACACACACACACACACACACACACACACACGCACGCCTCTGCAACATCTGCCACGTCGCCTCTGATAGAGACAGGCGCGTCCAGCTCATCTCCCTCCCCGGCGGCGTCTCCTTCGGACGGAAGGTTTGGTCCTCACTGAGCCTTTTCCTCATTTTCAGCGTCTGAATCTGGACTTTGGGAAGAAGCTTCCAAAAAGTGCGAGTTTGAGCTCAGCGTGAACGGGCGCTGCGGTGTCCCGCACCATCTGCGTGGAAACTTAAAGGGATGCTGCGCGCTGAGGGGCGCAATCTTTGGAGCGAGCTGAAGCAGATGGACACAAAGCCGACAGCGCACTTG